TCTGGCTGCAAAATGTTGATGGAACTTTGAAACTTGCGCTCATATTTTCCACCATTGTTGTCTAGTCTGTGACGTTTTTGAAATTTAACGACACGACGCGATGTCCTTTTTCGTCATTAATCTTTCCTCTTTTCCAAATTTCTATGTTCTAATTATGTGCATATGAACGACTTTTCAAAGGTCCATCTCTACTGGAGGTCGTTTGTTTACAATTATTAATCATTTAAAATTATTACGTTCTGTTTACATCAATAAAGTTTTTTTTTCTCTCATCGCGGTTTCATATGACTAACACAACTAATTCGATCTTTGATCGGTTTTTAACAATAGACGATTTTTTCTAGTTTCTGTTTTAATAAATTTCTAATTATAAATATTTAATTTCAACTCCTTTTTGGGGCTTCACAAGAGGAAAGAGAAAGAGAAGAGCAAAGACGAGCGCTTAAAAAGAAGGATAGTCAGGGTCAGATCCTCAGATGTGCGACGATTCTCGAACGAATAGGTGCGTACGTGTGCTGATCTTTGTAATTATAAATTGTGAATACATGTGACTAATATTATTTTCTTTTTTATTTTGTGCATGTTATAAGTTATAAATAAACGTAAACAAACAACACTAACCCGATAACATTAAATCTAAATACCATAATGATTAATTTACTGTGTTTTTGTTATTTCTTACTCCTGTTTTCAGGTATTTAGCAGAATAGCGAAAAATAGGCCGAATACCGAAATAGTAACCGAATACTAGTTATATCGCTAATTTTTACCTCTTGGACAAACTGTGAATCAGGAAATCTGGTTGTCCTGCAACGCCTTCAAAAGTGGGCACTGCAGATCAGTGGGTGCCGCACCACCACGACACATCTACTCACACGGCACTGTCAATTCGAGAGATTTCGGGCCAAAAAATATATATTTCAAACTCTCGCACAAACTCTACTGCTCAGACTCAGCCTCGTGTGACCTGTTACCTCTTGCTCAAATTGAAATCCTAAATGATTGGTCACCAGGACTGTTGACACATCTGAAAAAGTGTGACCGATGTACTAAATATCCTTACTGATTATTGCAGACACAGCTATGATCAGTGAAAAAAAACACTGGCCATGATGTGTGACTTTCCAAGAATCATACTTTGAAGGAAGATTCACAAAGCAGTCAGTTAACCAGAGTGTTAAAAGTATCAACCTTTAGAACAAACAGCAATGTGTATGCAATGGTGTGGTGTATGTTAATGTGAACTGTAAATCTTAATAATATTAAATAATGTACTTCATAATAATCAAAACTTATTTTATTCCTTACATTTGTGTTGCATTTAATCAAATAATACACTGTATTAACATTCTATAAGAATGTCTAAAATGATATAAAAATAATAATGGTCTTATAAACATTTATAAATAAATAAAAATAAATAAACAAGTTTGGAAATTATTTAAAATTCATTGTTAAAATTGTAACTACCATAAATAACCTGATTAAAAAATACCATTAATTAATGATATCCAATATTTTGTGATTGAGACAGATAAATATGTGATCTAATCAGGGCCGGATTAACCCACTTTGGGGCCCTAGACATTTTCTTCTTACCGAGCCCCCTCCCACACAAGAACATATTTTCTTTAGATTTTAGAATTCACAATAACCATATAAAAAGCAATATATTTTTGTTTACAATATATTTTTGTTTATTTGTTTAATATATACAGTCGTCCAGCAGAAAAGTAAACTATCTTATTTACAAATCTTTTCAAAATAGACAGTTTGACCAGGCCCTTCTAAAAACCGGGCCCTAGACATTTGTCTCATTTGTCTATGTGATGATCCGGCCCTGGATCCAATGTAGGAAAAATAATTTTTTTTCTAGTAAAATAGTCTATTTTCTCATCTCCTCCCTAACTGAATTTTCACAACCATGATTCTAAAGCTTCACAATGTTCATTATGTTTAAGATTTCAACTTAAAATTCTTCATTGGTTGATATTGAATCACAATAAAAATTAAAATATCCAATCATTCCACAAAAATTATAATTACCGGTTATAATATTTGTGTTTTTAAGTACATCCACATTTATAAGATATCAAAATATAATTTAAATATTATCACAGTAGCAAAAATTACCCGAATGTTGATTAATCTAAATGTCGTGATATTCTTCTCAGCTGCAGAGTGAAGACCGTCTTCTTAGAATTTGATTTGGCAACACTTTATGGCTATTGCTCGCTCCTTTTGTTGCTCCCATTTATTGTTAACTTTACATTTTCTCCATTATAATCTTTTCAAAAATAAAAATTTATTATTTAATACTTTCCATTTACTAATTATTCATTTGTAATTACATAAGAATAGTTTTATTAATGATAATTTATTAGTAAACATGATATATGAAAATTATTGCAAAGTAATATATAAACATCTGATACTTTTCTCTAGAACTATGATAAACTGCCATAGCAGCAGAAGGCATTAATTCCAAATTATCAAAAATTCTGTTTTTACAACTTTTGACATTGAAAGGCACTTCTACATAATCCTGTATGGCCAGGTTTTTAGTAGGGTTATTAAATACTAAAATTTTTTACAGCAAAAAGCATTAACTCAAATATATTATGTTCATTATTAATGCAGGAAGCACTAATACCACACATCTGGGTTTTTACAAATACGTGAGCCGTTCACAGCCCGGCACACGTATTTGTAAAATCTAAGTGACTCGTACAACACGGAATTCATATAAAACGGAATTATCAACAGTGTTATAGGGGGGATCGACTGTACATGTGACAATAGTCTGTGCAGCTAAAAAGTAGACACGGGTCCATCTGAGCAGGATGGGTCTGTCTCCTTCCACCACTTTCATCTGACATGTGAGAGTTGACATGTGTGTCACAATAATAAAATTTGTAGAGAGAGTAAATCAAAATCATTTATGATAACAATAATATAAAAATGTTTTAAAAATGTAAAATGAAGCAGCTGAAAAAAATCAGAACCATATACTTTCACATATCTCCTTCCATTCCTTTCATCTGGAATAAATCCTTACAGATTAGGTTGACTCATATCCACTCTTTTGCTGCATGGACTATATAAGATTCAATCCTACATTATTGAATAGGCACTCAGTAGGGGTTGCATTTACTGTTAATGCTATTTGTTTTTAATCAGTCTAGTCATTTCATTGTCTTTCAAATGCCAAAATATATCCAGAACTTAATAAGACTATTGAGGCTAAGGGTACGGAAGATGAAAATGTGCCATTGGCACGAGTGGACCAGAAAACAAATTTTGAAAATGCAGCAGCTGTGACTAATATGCAGATCTCTGAGTGAAGTTAGATTCATAAAAGCAACAGTATACAAGATGCAAATGACAGCTAGGAACATCAGTCTTGCAACTTTCTAAATAAAACAGCTATCATTAACAGGCTTCCCAAACAGTATATTATAGAAAGGTATACTGTATTTCAAAGTATGGTTGAAAAAGAATTTTCTGTCTCAGCTTATTGGCAGAGTGCCTTCCAATCATCTATTATTCAGGAAAATTTGCAGAAATCCAAACACAGCCAGGATCTCTTCAAATCAATGGTGTACTAACAGAGTTTTTGTGAGTTAACTACTGTAATATGTAAACAGGAAGTAAAGAACTAATTAAAGTTTCACCCAGTTTTATTTATTTTGTTAAGATCTGATGTTTAAAATAATACAAATATGGACCTTTATAAATGAGCATAAGGTCTACGGAGACTGACAACAGGGTTGTGACACAGTGCAAAGAGGGAGCGACCACTCATCCTAACTCTGTGCTCCAAGTAGTTTGACTTTTACTGAGGCTAAGCAGTTATTGAGAGTGCTGACAGCATCGTTGTGAAAGTTAACAATAATATCTATTCAAACTGCCTAATTTCTATGAATGATGGCTAGAAATTTAAAAAGCAAACTAAAAAGAACTAAGGCAAAAAGTATTAACTCCAAAAAAAAAAAGGGTTTAATTCCTCCTACCTTAAATTGGTTGAATCCTAACATAAAATGCATTGACTGCCTGAAAAATGTAATAAATATTTACTTTCACAGAAAATATAAGAAAACTAATTATTTTTTGGGTATCTTTCCAAATATTTTGTACTAAAATAAGCTCTGTTAAAGTCTAAGGCTAAATCAGCTTTATTTTGGCTTGTACCAAAATAAGCTGACTGATCCTTTAATATGGACTGAGTGGTACTTGATCCTTTAAAATTAATGGAGTCAGATATATACTAATAATCTTATTCCAGTTCTTTCACAACTTTCTTAAATTTTCCTTCCTAATTACCTATTTATTAATTTATAAATTGAAAGATATGTATTACAGTTTCCTTATCTAAATTTTAAAAATAATGTTTGGTAATGTTGTAAAGTAATTTTAAAAATACTGTTAATCTAATAAATTTAAAATTGGTTTATTTAAAGTTATATATCCACAGTGCCAAACTGTGCTCTTCCAGACCCTTATTGTGTTATATACCATGGCCAAACCAGTACTTTATACATGTAATAAATAAAATAGTTTCAATAGAGAATGTGGCTCTCATTTCTAATAACCATTATATAGATCTTGTCATGACAAGGTTTGGTCAGCCCCGTGATATACACACAAATTTCTTTTTAAATTTATTTTATTCTTTAACGTTCTATCAGTAAAAAATACAATATCCTTAAGAAATAACACAATTTATTTTATAAAACATTGTGTTAATTATTGAACCTAGTTCCTAGACCATTGTTTTTCAATTTTTTTCTAATAGTGTCATGCTCAACTTTGTAATCTTGCAGCACTCTGCTTACTTGTTGATGTAGAGTTATTGCATTTTTCATGCCTTTAGTAATACACGTAATAAATGTTACGTTGCTGCTTGATACTATCTAGCGGCACCCATGAAGCATTGTCGCGGCACCACAGTTAAAAACAACCATCATAGACTACTATTGCAGCTTAACAAAGGTTGATTTTGTTAATTTATCATTAGTAATAACTTTAAATTATTGAGAAGTTTATTTTTTTTATTGTAATTTAAGCTGAACTCAATTCTTTCCAGACAGAAAAAGAAATAATTATTGCCCAAGCACCAAGCATCAGAGAGATATTTTCACAGTACAAAACACTATAATAGTTTAACTGAAGATGAATAATAATTTGAAGAAATAAAGTTTCAAATAGAAAGAATAATTTTATTGTGTTTCTAGAAGTTTATTTATTGTGAAATAAGAATAAAGTTAGTTGTTAATGAGTGAAATGTATTTTATACAATTTCTTCATTCTCATATTATACAGAAACAACTTCACAGACTAATATAGCAAACCATAAAAAAAATACAAAAGAAGTATAATTTAAGAAGATGAAACATACATTAAGTTCACATTTAAAAAACACCCTGTGTTTAGGACTGGTTTACACAATACAACTATCACTGACATTTTACTGCACTCAAAAATGCACAGACAAGATTTGTTGTAAATGAGATGCTTACAAGATAACCAGAATACAACATGAGAATCATTCTGAACAGGCACAAAGCATTCATTTCTTTCAAGAGTGGTGAGAATGCAATCTGACAGACAATTTTGATCTCATCACTGATTAGTTTGATAATGTGTTAATCGATGCCAATGGCTCACAAGTTTGTTCAAACGAGGTAAATCTGCGAGTATTGAAGTTTTCGGCAACAAAAATGTCAGCAGTCGTCACATCATGTAAACTAGCCTTTAGGTATAAAATTCAAAGTTTTACGACAAATCTTAATTTTATAAGTGTATTTCTTAACTACATTCTGAGTGTTTTTACATTATACAGTTAAAATGTTCAATTTGAGACACACTTAAATGACAAGACAACATAATACTAATTTAAAAATAAGCAGGAATATATTTATCCGATATTAAAAGAAAACTTATTTAAAATCATCAATATCATACTGAGACAAAATAAATGGTATCAACACAAGAGCGATTCTGCCTTGATATGATATTGCTAGTTTTAAATACTTTCCTTTAATAACAGATTATTATATAAATTTTAAGCAAAACAACATTACAAAGCAGATTACATATAGCGAACACAAAAACACTTGCCTGTTTCATTTGCTACAACATCCAGGAACGGCTAATAGGAAAGAAGAGATTTAGATATGTTAGAAATGTACATTTAAAGAATTTTTATTAAACTGGAGAAAGGGGGGGAAAAATCAAGAAAAAAAGAACAATTATAAAAGATTTAATTCAATAAATTTGTTATTTGAGCTAAAACAGTTTGTTAATTATTTTTGTTTCTTTTGTAGAATGACTTTCCTTCTTTAAATGATTATTATTTAATTTTTACAGAATGTGGTTTGGATTGATGGAATAAAACAATGTGATACTTGGGCAATCTCCTAGGAAGAGTGCCTCCCAAGAGGATATTTTATGAAAATTTGGCCCTTATTTAGGTGTTTGATGCATTAATAAAACACAGAAAAGTCCAGGAAGCCAGCCATCGGTAAGGCACAAACTCATGACTGATTACCAGTGATTGGTAGTGTTATCCACTTGGCCACTGGCGAGATTTACAGAATATAAAATGCATCAAATGCATAACTCTAGGTTTAATAATATCAAACACAACTTTTGCAAGTCAAATTTAATGTAATTGATATTGAAATTAGAGTAAAGCCATTTTACATATTTTGTCAATCACTTTCAGAAACACTACCATAATACACCAGCAAAATATATACTTTGTGTGATATTCAAGTGTTAAATATTTGTATTTTTAAACAGTTATTGAAGTATACCTATTTTATTAAGAAAACTGTAAAGTTTCATTATAACCATAAAAATTAGAAAGCATTTGATGAATTATTCTTGAATCTGAGCTACATTATATGTTATTTTGATTCTTCGTCAATCCCTTTCAGATTTAATTTTGATAGTTTAATATATATTAGGCATTTTATTAATTTTCCTCCACAAATACTGGATTATTATTCTGACCTTTGAAAATGGTCCTATTCAAAAGCATTAGCAAATTGTTTTTAAAAATTATTTTTTTAATTTAATTGCATAAAGATAAAGTATATTAAACTTCATATGTTCTATAATATTAATTTTTTACATTAAACAAAAAAACATTCTGTTCTGGCATAAGATAAACTTGAAAAAATTATTAATTACTTAGTAAATAAATTGGCATTGACTGTGTTTAAGTTAACTTTTATATTAATTTAATTTATATTCAACTTCTTCCATCAGTTTATGTAATGTGAATAAGAGATAATATCAGTCATATCTGATAATATATATACAATAATAATAAATTAAGTATGCAATAAAACTCCATACCTGTTCATTTTCTTTAAGAGTAATACCATTTTGTTCACATTTATCCTTACCACGTACAACAACTGGACTGAGCAAAGTTGGACTAACATTTTTGGCTCCACCTATTAAAGAATGTGACTAAAATGAATGACTTAAAATATACTTTTTATAAATACAATGTTATATGCTATACCTGTTACAAAACTAATGATAATTCCAATCACAAAAGCTAAGATCCATCCTAATCCAGCAAACCACATGTAAGATATTTTATACAGTACAAAAACATCACTGAAAAATACTGAATTAATACATTTTAATCTAAGTTAATTATATTAATAATTCATCTTAAAACTAACCTAGACTTATCTTCAGATGGTGCAATTGTAGAGATGGTGTCGTTAGAAAATATTGGTATGGTAAAGTTGTTATTTACCACAGTACTTTCTACATTAATTGTATTATTTAAAGAGCAACCGTCTGTTCTCATTGGCAGTTTGGTTGGTGGATATTTGGAAGAACCGAAACCAATTATAAAACAAATCGTAAGAGCTGCCAACAATCCAATTATAGCACCCTAAACAATCAGAAAATAAATGAAATAAGCATAAATACAGTCAAGTCTGATTAATTTGATACCAAATTATTTAAATACCTGATAATTCAAACTTACTATGATTTCCCTCAAAGTTCATATTTAAATTGGTAATCAAACAATAAAGCTGGATTTATAATTAAGCTATATTCTGGCTAATTAAATAAACAGATATTATGTAACTCGGACTAAAGCTAGGTGATTAAGTCGCCATGTTTTATTAATTAATATGAGATACCATATTTTCAATTTAAAATAAAATTGTTACCTTCTGATTAGCTCTTTTACAAAACATCCCCAGTGAAAATAACCCAAGAATTGGTCCCCCCACGACTCCAAATATAGTCAAGGATGCTTGCAACACTCCTCCAAGTTGAGCCGCAACGTATGTGAGTGCAATGCATAACATTCCATAAAAACATGCTAAAAATATGAATAATAAAATAAGTTAAAAGTTAATATTTAAATCAATGCTTTATACACAGAATTAAAACACATATCCAAGACATACCGAGAACGGTGGATATAATTGCAGCCTTCTTTTCCGATATGTGATTTTTATAATAAAAAGGCTTGATGTAATCTTCTAAAGTGACTGCCGCTAATGAATTTATAGCAGATGACATGGTGCTCAATGCTCCACTGAAGATACCGGCAACAAAGAGACCAGGTAATCCAGACAGATGACCAAGAGATTTCATTACAAAATATGGTAATAGCTAAAAAGTAGTTTATGTTATTGATTGTATTAGAGCAAAACTACTTTAAAAAACTATATATTCAACATTTTATTACTTAATCTAAATCTACATGAGATGGAAAGAGTATAGTGGCAACATATCAATATATAAAAACCATTTATTGTAAAACAGAACATCATTACATTCCTTTAATATATTTATCATCGTCCACATGTGGAAGGCACTGAACACAAATAGCACTACTGTGTTTGTTTATATCCCTGAACAAGCACCCTATTGCTCTAAGAATAACATCTCTCATGTGGAAAAATTTCCTCTCAGTGGTTCCTTTAGCTTGGGGAAAAGATTGAAGTCACAGAGACTCATATAGGATAAATATGGATGATGATTGAGTACTTCCACTTCCCACTGTCCTAACAACTCCCTCACAGAAGCAGCAGTGTAACAGTGATCATTGTCACGCAAGAAAATGGGAGCATGTTTGGAAATGCTGCTTGCATATGATTTTACATACCTTTAATATAGTGCTATCATATAGTTCCTATTTACAATGTTTATTTCAAGCATAACAAATGAAACAATTAAAAAATTATATTTAATTTGACCTTATTTTAAGTCAATTTCTCAACTGTCATCATTTTATAACAGAATATATCCTCAACTCAAATAACAGCATTTCCATGATTGTGGCCAAGGGATATGACATTATCTTGAAAACGATGATGGTAACTCCCATCAATAATAATAAATATCCAAGAAAGGCAGAAATTGAAAAAATAAATCAATTATATCAACAAATTTTCATTAAAACATTAATTTAAACTTAAATCATCAACTAGGACATATCTATTATTAGGGCTTATTATACTGGATAGCTGGTTCTGCAAATTAAGTAAACAAACTCAGGAAAAAGTCTTTATTTATCACCTGAACACACACACAATATCTTTGTGTTTTGAACCTGTTGGTCCCTCATCAGCACGTTTACCATTGACATTCTCTAAAAAACTTGCAATTTAAAAATTCTTACAAAATTATTTAAAAAACATATAATTTTCGACAATAAATCAATTTAAAACTTACAATTCCTTGTTTTTAAGTACATCCTCAAAACCGACAATATTTAATGCAAATTTCAATAGTATTAATTCAAACAAATTCCTGCTTTAAAACAATATAAATAATTAAATTAATGAAGGCTGGTTTAAACATAAACTTACATTGAGTTTTTGCTTTCCCTTGAACATTGCTTTAAACTCACTTGATTTCTCCTTTTCTCTCCCTCTATAGATGATGCTATTTCATGATTGATCTATTTCTCTTCCTGTGTTGTTATTTATTCTATCTTTTTGTTTAACTACAGTTTATAGATATGTTCGTACAATTGTCTTTTATAATTATTTTTCTTTTTTTTCTTTATTTTTATTGTGTTGAAATCTACTTTGCATCCTTTTAAATTACAATGTTTTACTACTGTGGAATTTGCATAATTCCCTTTAATTGCACGAATATGTTCTTTTAATCTTATTTTTAGTTTTGTTTTTGTTTCTCCAATATATGTTTTCTTCTGGTTACAACTACAATTAAATGAATACACCACACCTTTTTCTTCTGTTATTTCATATTTTTGGTTGTTTCTGTAACAAAGATGTTTTTTTAGTTGAACTTATTTTTTCGTGTACTAAATTTATTCTACTATTTATTACTTTTTTGATTCTTTCAAATAATTTTCGTACATACATTATTTTTACAAATTTTTTTCTCTGTATCTATTAACCTTTTTGATTGCCAAATGCTAAAAAAGTAGAAAGTGAAAACACCAGTAAGTTTTTCCTAAATAAATATAATAAACTAGTTTAAAAAATAGGATATCCAACTTTCAAAAAAAAAATATTGGAAACAAAAATTAATAATAAAAATGACGAATATGGATATACCAGGACAGATCCGAAGAACACTAGAGCTAGGATTGGATTACAACAAACCAGAAATAATGAAAATGGAAGATTTTGTGGTTTTCACAGAACATTTATTATGGAAATTTCTAAGGAACAGGAAAAAAGAATGGGAAAAACATTTATTATGGAAATTTCTATGGAACAGGAAAATTTCTATGGAAAATTTCTATGGAAATTTCTATGGAACAGGAAAAAAGAACAGGAAAAACATTTATTATGGAAATTTCTAAGGAACAGGAAAAAAGAATGTATGAGAACAGGAAAAACAAGTATGAGAACAGGAAAAAGAAGTATGAGAACAGGAAAAACAAGTATGAGAACAGGAAAAAGAAGAAATAAGAACAAGTATGCAAAAATTTATAAAACACAAAAAACTACACAAAAAAACATTAAGTAAGGTAAGAAATAATAAGAGACATTTAAATAATGTAAAAACATTTTTAATTAATAATAATCTAGAAATGTTGCAAGGTGATAAAACAAAACAGATAATAATTATAAAAAAGGAAAGAAAAATGGAAGTCATCAAAGAATTGATCCAAGAAGGAAATTATAAACAATTTGATAAGAATCCAATTAAAAAGCTAACAAAACCTCTGGAAAAAACATCAATTAATAAAGACATCAAATATATAAAAAGATAACAGAACACTGAAATTCAATATAAGATTAAAAACATATAAAACTCCAGTTAACTATAGACTACTTATAGATGTTAAAAACTATGTATATTATAACCTAGAAAAATACTTAAAAGATAAATTAAACTTTTTAGAAATATCCAAATATAATATAAAAATGTAGATGATTTATTAAAAAGATTACAAAATAATAATATTACAATTAATAATAATATGAGGTTAGTATTATTGGGCATTATAAATATGTACCCTAGTATTACAATAGAAGATATTGAAAGATCTTTAATAAGAATAAAGGTACAAGACTGTTAATTAAATTATGCTTAATAATAATCAAAAACAATTATTTCCAGTATGATAAAAAATTCTACACTCAAACGGATGGAATACCCACGGGAACTTGAATAGGTCCAAAACTGGCAGAAATATCTATGATACAAATTGATGAACAAATTAGTAATATTGAAGAAATAGAATTCTACAACAGGTATGTAGATGACTGTATTATAATTTTTGACAAAAGAAAAACAAGCGAAAATACAATTTTAAAAAAGGCTAACCAGATAAAAGAAAACATTAAATTCGAAATAGAAATGGAGAAATAGAATAGCAATAATTACTTAAATTTAACAATTGAAAGAAGAGAAGATAGATTAATTTATAAAAAATATGTAAAACAGATACAGATTCCAAAAATAATTAATTACAAATCTATTATTCCTATTAGCATAAAATTTAATATATTTAAAATGTATATGGATAAAATAAAATATAGAACAAGTGAGATAGAAACTAAGAAACAGGAAGAAGAAGTAATACAATAATACCTCGACTTACGCGAACCCGGAGTTATGCAATTTTCAAATCTCGTCGATTCGTCTTTTGTTTGAGCGCCACGCAACTCTTGATTACTCATTTCCCCTACACTATTGTTCAGCTTACGTGTTCAGACATGTTGCACGAAATTGACACATAGCTACAATTTATTTTGTGTTATTTATTTCTGTGTTTGTTATATATACAGAGACTTGAGAGACACTATGTGGTGATTTCTTGTAACCATGAATGAATCAAAAGACAAGATAAGATTAACAAGAACATTTATTAGCTTACATATATCTGACTTGGATTTTACAAAAATTGCAAAATTATACCCCAATTTATGAAAATTTGACTTACATGGTTATTACTCAGTCCCACCTATCGCGTAAGTTCAGGGTATTACTGTAATAAAAATGTACATACTAAATGATTACCCGAAATTCTTGCTTGAAAAATGGATAGAAAAATTAGAAAATGATGACAACCAAAAACAAATTAATAGATAAGGAGAAAAAATTTGTAAAAATAATGTATGTACCAAAATTATTTGAAAGAATCAAAAACGTAATAAATAGTAGAATAAATTTAGTACACGAAAAATATAAGTTCAACTAAAAAAACATTTTTGTTACAGAAACAACCAAAAATATGAAATAACAGAAGAAAAAGGTGTGGTGTATTCATTTAATTGTAGTTGTAACCAGAAGAAAACATATATTGGAGAAACAAAAAGAAAACTAAAAATAAGATTAAAAGAACATATTCGTGCAATTAAAGGGAATTATGCAAATTCCACAGTAGTAAAACATTGTAATTTAAAAGGATGCAAAGTAGATTTCAACACAATAAAAATAAAGAAAAAAAAGAAAAATAATTATAAAAGACAATTGTACGAACATATCTATAAACTGTAGTTAAACAAAAAGATAGAATAAATAACAACACAGGAAGAGAAATAGATCAATCATGAAATAGCATCATCTATAGAGGGAGAGAAAAGGAGAAATCAAGTGAGTTTAAAGCAATGTTCAAGGGAAAGCAAAAACTCAATGTAAGTTTATTAGAATATGTTTAAACCAGCCTTCATTAATTTAATTATTTATATTGTTTTAAAGCAGGAATTTGTTTGAATTAATACTATTAAAATTTGCATTAAATATTGTNAACTTAAATCATCAACTAGGACATATCTATTATTAGGGCTTATTATACTGGATAGCTGGTTCTGCAAATTAAGTAAACAAACTCAGGAAAAAGTCTTTATTTATCACCTGAACACACACACAATATCTTTGTGTTTTGAACCTGTTGGTCCCTCATCAGCACGTTTACCATTGACATTCTCTAAAAAACTTGCAATTTAAAAATTCTTACAAAATTATTTAAAAAACATATAATTTTCGACAATAAATCAATTTAAAACTTACAATTCTCGGTTTTTAATTACATCCTCAAAACTGACAATATTTAATGCAAATTTTAATAGTATTAATTCAAACAAATTCCTGCTTTAAAACAATATAAATAATTAAATTAATGAAGGCTGGTTTAAACATAAACTTACATTGAGTTTTTGCTTTCCCTTGAACATTAATGTCAATGGTAAACCTGCTCATGAGGGACCAACAGGTTCAAAACACAAAGATATTGTGTATGTGTTCAGGTGAAAAATAAAGACTTTTTTTTGAGTTTGTTTACTTAATTTGCAGAACCAGCTATCCAGTATAATAAGTCCTAATAATAGATATGTCCTAGTTGACAATTTAAGTTTAAATTAATAAATTAAGGACACAAAGGCATTTAAATTTGTTCTATTAAAACATTTTCAAAAACATGAACAAGGAAATCCAATAAATAGAATATGCTGTGAAATTGTCTGAAATACACTCCCATGCAGCATAAGTGCAAAATGGTTTTGGTTTCAAGTTAGCAGATGACTATAGAATCTATATCATATTGCCTGAATGGCAAATTATTAAATATAGGATAACTTTCCACTAAAGATTTCCCCAAGCCTCTTCACAATGAAAAATGTAATGTATGGATACTTTATTGAAATGATATGAAACAAATAAAATTATAAATGGATGATATATATAAATATGTGAGATTCTGACATTGTATGCAAGTCTATAACTTAATCTATAACACAAATAATGCACTGTTTTGAACATTTGTGGCAATTGAATATCTATAACTAATGAGAACTTAAATATGCAAAAGTACTTTTACTATAAAAAGCATGCAATGTTGTTTGTTTTATAGATTAAAAGTATATATAGATGGATGATGTACTACTGCATTAACTTTGTGACACGTATAGTACTGAGTTAATCAACATTAAATGTTATCTCATCAGTTTATGTTAAATTCAAAGTCAACTTTGCTGCTAATTGATAGTGTCCTCCGTTGACATAAAAATTATACATTTTATATCAATTAACAAGGAATAAAATAATTGTAAACTAAAAAATTAAACTAAAACTAACACATCATACCTTAATTTTAAAAGTAATTAAAACATTCTGAACATATACAATTTTGTCGATGCATTGAGTAATCATAGTAACATTAATCACATTAATGTGAATTGTTCGAGGTGTAGTAATTAATATAACAATCATTCATATACTTCTGGTAACAAATGTGTTCTCTCCTACATTCATACATTCTAAAGATGTTAATATCATGACAACAAATGTTAGCTGTTGTTAGTCAATTTATTGCCTAGACATTGGTACAACTGTGATCCAATAACTAACCATTTTAATATAATATCAATATTTTTAACATTTTTTAAAGACATATTCATTCATCCAGGGTTTTGACTAAAATCTTTTGATAGTCAGATACTTTATACTTTAAACTAATATTTACAAATTAAATAATACTTACTTGATCAGATGATTTAATTTTTGAATCAGACAATGGATCGCATTTGTAAAAATTAGCATATATGACTAATCCCGTAAATGATGTTGTTAGACTGAGAAAAGCCGTAATTGGCAAGTTGACAAAAAGTGCTCTAAAATAAAGTGAAACAATTATTATTACTTATTAGCAATAACAGTCCACAGATATATCAAATGTATACTTACTGTTGTGCTTTTTTAAGACTGTTCACAGTCAGTAGCCTTTGAACTTGAGTTTGATTTACGGCATAAATAGAAACATATACGAAAATGCCACCGACGGTTAATGTCCATATGGAATGCCTCACCGTAGGATCAGGATCAAAACTAAATGAAACATTGTTATAACATTGTTAGGTTTATAAACTATAGATTTTAACTTTAATAATCAAGTAATTATCTTCCATTATACAATAATTTTTAAAAACATCTACCAAATTAATATTAAAATTTATTTTAATATTAAATTAATATAATTTTAATATTAATATTAATTTTAAATTTCTGTTTGTTGAACAATAGAAATAATGGTTGAATCTGAAATATAAAATGAATGTAATGTTGTTACAATCACCTAAGTTGAATAAAAGTGGACAAATAAATTTAATTAATCATCATGTACAGCTTATATCACTCACTGTTTAATGTTTTTCCAGTAAATACCCAAATTTCATAGAATGTAACTCTTGATACAACATTTTTTGTTATATTAACAAAAGATACATGTTTATATACCAAAAAATCAATACAAGTTCTTTAAAAACAGCAATATGTGGAAGAAGTCTCAAGTTATATTTCAATTAAAATTGGCTAGAATAATGTATAAAGCACTCCAAGTCTCAAGAAATAGAACATACTTCTCTATATTTCTCCAATACAGTTGGCATTGGAAGAAGCATCATAACATTTTATCATACCAATATCTACAGCAAGCCTAAACATTACTATCAATAGTCAACTAATTATCTAACTTATGTAAGTATCAGAGCCATTGTTAAGAACATATTGCAGTTTATTCCATGTTTTTATTGTAAATTTTTGTCTTCATTTTTAAAACAAATTGCTTTATTGTGTATTTGTTCGCTATGCTGTATCCTAAGCATAATGTTTGCAGTATCATAAGCAGATTGTTCAAAGAAACAGCAGTTTAGGCTCCACGAAACCATATGATGCAGGAGACTACAGTGATCTAAAGACTATGCTGTTTGAATATTCTAATAACTTTAACTTTTAGCTTATTAATACTTATTAATATCAAAAATGAGACATCTCTATATTTTTATCTAAAACAACAGCTTGAAGTCAATTGCCATTTTGAAGAATACCATATATTCTATTCTATAAGACTAATTGTCAAAAATCTATACATTAATGAACGATTTGCAGATATGACAAATTTCTTAACTACTTAAGTTCTGTAATCTAAAATATTAACTTATTCATAAACCAATTTATTGCAATTGGCATCTTTCTAAGTGTACTTGGTCACTTTTTACTGGGATTCATGTAATACTCATTTTCAGAAAGAGATGTCACAAATAATAGTTTCCATATATTTCCGCAAATAAGACGACCTTCAGATAAGACGAGGTATAAATTTTCTAAAGTCAACACACCTTAATACTGAGAAAGGTCATTTATTCAGCTAAACAAATGTTTTCAACCCATTCCATGGGCCATCATCAGGTTAAAGATGTTTGAATCAATATAAATTTTCATCAAAGTTTTATAGTTTTAGCATATATCTGTCCTATAAGATGACCCCGAACTATCAACGGCCTATTAGACCAGCAATCATCATCTGAATAATAATACTGTATAGCATATATGGAATTGTCCTATTCATAATTTTTCAAATGAACAAATTTTATTTTCTTGCATCTGGCAGCACTGCCTTGCGATTGTTGCAAACATCGGCACTGATTCAGGCATTCAGGTACCTTCACTATTCACAAAAATGTCATATGTGCTATTCTACTTTGTAGATCCACAATTTATTTTTTAGCTCCATATCCTACTCTCTACTAGTAAATAATTATAGTTTCTCTGTTTTTTTATAATAGTTTTAATTTATATAAATTTAAATTACTTTTTTTGTATCTGCCCTATAAGACGACTCCGGATTTTGGGAGCCTTTTTCTTTATGATTCAACTATCATCTTATCTGTGGAAATATACAGTAATAATCACATATGCAAACCTTTCAAGCCTGACCTTGTTCATACTCAAACAGTGAAACCGTGCACTGTTTAAAGTTTAAAAATAAGTATATTCTTCAGTTGTTATTGTAAAACTTGTTATTGATCTAGTTGCACACTGATATCCTCTTACCTCACTTTGCCAACCAGTGGGCGAGTGAATAAAACCACCAAACACTAATTGTCAGTTGCAGGTTCACATCTCACCAATAGGCTGGCCACAGTGTTTTCCAGCTTTTATTCACATCTCTAACACCTAAATAGGAGCCAGTTTCCCATAGAAAATCTTCCTGTGAGCTATCCTGCTTGTAGTTCACCCATGTTTTGCATTGCTCTATCCCATCAATTCATCCACAATCCATCCTTTTACCTCTTCTCTATTTTTTAGCTCCAAGTGTTTAAATCTTGGAAAATTTTTGAAAATATATTAAATCTATTAGCATAATTGATATAACAACTTATACACAAAGGTTCAAAGTATGCAAGTTATAAAATCAAACTTAAACTGTTAAAATTATAGTTATGCTACCACAAAGCAACTATTTGCTAACAATTATATTACCCCATTGGTGACTAGAAAATAATGTATTAAGCATTTTATATCCTAAACTCCTCTATGGAAAACCGTAATATTAATGTGTTATACCCTCTATAAGCCAAATTCGATGTGCTAGTGAGGTTTCTCTGGTTATTCAAAAAACTCCAGTTACAACTGATCAAAATAACTTTATTTTTTCTTTACAAAAAGGAGACAATCACGCTAAATGCACTTCAGTATTTGGAGTTGTTTCTTCTCTCAGATGGCACTTGAAATAATCAATGTCATGTTTGTCACACTCCTTTTTGTAAAGAAAAATAAAGTTATTTTGCTCAACTGTAACTGAATTTTTTGAAACACCAAAGAAACTTCACAAGCATGTCAAATTTGGCTTATAGAGGATATAACACATTTTACATTTTCATAAGCTAGTTTGTAAATTATATATACGTATCATAGTGTGTTTTGGAAATTAGCTGGAATTTTGAGTTGATAATGTAACACATTATAATTTTTTTCTATTTAAATTAATAGGAAATAAGTTTCTGAATGATGTTCTCCTACAGGACACTGATTTTCAGGAACAGATTACAGACATTAAGCAGCTGACAACTATAGTTCATTTCCATGCAACAGCTTTTCATGTACATATTTCTTTCATATCATAGTCCTTTCAAATAACACTTTTATTCATTATTTCTTTCAATGTTGATTTTTTGATAACTTTTAACAGGATTTTTAAATTTCTATAAATATAAAATTTAATGCATGTAAGAAAAGAAAGATATAGATGAGGTAAGAAAACATAAACGTCTCTTGAATTTTTATCATACTTTCATTTTATATTCTTGATGATTATAAATGCAGGATCTTCCAAAAAAGAATGCTCATTTTAAATTATTGCAATTGTATTAATTACTAACTGAAAATGTTGTAATGTACATTAAAACATTGAAAAACTGTCTAAGTGTCACATTTGACCATTACAATTTCTTAATGCATCCACCCTGTGTCATACAGCACACATGTGACTGATATTCAAATTCTTCCTATACTTGCTGTGGAATATTAGTTGTCACTCCTCCCTCAGTAGCCACAATTCTAATACTTCTGCAGATTACTCATGTAGTACAGTGATGAGTAACTCTGACTTTGCAAATTGCAAAAACACAAAACACTACAGGAAGTTGTCATTTTTGTTTTACAGTGCTTTCTAGAGGTAGTACACAGCAAGATGTTTAAATGTAGATGGGAAATGAAACCTGGACATTTACGCTATCAATTAGTGTATGTGACCTACTTCTAAAAAGATATTTGTAGTACTTACTTTAAAAATTCTATGCGTTTGCCTTCTTGAGATATTCTCCAAACTTCACCCAATCCCCCAACATCAATAGTTCCTTTAATGATAACAGCAAACATGGCAGCAAACATTAGAATTGACTGAAAGACATCTGTCCATAAAACAGCCTTAATTCCTCCCTAATGACAATAATATATAATTAAGAAATACAGACACTATTTTTGGCATTAAAATATATTCTTAACACACTTTCTACTCACCAATGTACAATAAAAAGTACAAACAATCCCTATAGAAATTATGCAAGACCATAACGACAGTCCCGTGACGGCACTCAAAGCTAATGCTGGTGCATATAGAACTATCGACATATATAGAATCTAAAACATATATTAAAAAGAATATAATAATTAGAAAATATTAGTAAATTGTAAATAATTATTTAAAATTTATAGTTACCATTTGAATCATGAATGTTAGCGAAACAATGAGCCTAGTAGCTACACCAAATCTTTGTTCCAAATACTGAAACAAAAGTATCAGTTAACAAATTTTCAGACATTTGATGGAAGTTTGTAATATTTTCTTATTTTTAATTACTCAAAAATATCAATTTGCAGTAGGCTCGACTAATCATGGATGCTGTTATCTGTCGTTTAATGTTAACAAAATTAATTATAATAATAATAATAAATTAGCAGTATTAATTTACAATTTAAACTAGTGACACCCAAACTTTACAATTTTCAAGCCAACCAAAATTTTCATTAACTATAATCTTATCCACTTAACCTGTTTAATGTTATCAGCAGTTATAATCAATACAGGCAGGTCCAAAGGAATTATAAGCAGATGCTATTGTACCATTTTTAAATATTTATAATCACTATAACTGATTGTTTTTTAATAATACCTAAAAATACAAAAGACTCTGCTTGATAGCAATCTCTCAAACATGGACATTATATTCAACAATTGTTATATCAAATTTTTCAAATATTTCCTGATTTTAGTGGGAAGAGGCCAAAATTACATCATACAATTTTATGTCTATGTAAGAAAAATGTTACAATATGATTTAAGTTATTAATGTATTGACCATGTCTAAAAGTAAACAAAGCCTAAGGCAAGTCATGTGATTGGACCTTCTTCAACTTCCAGTAGAACGTCGGCGTTGTGTTGCTAGTGTTGGTTAATAGTCAATGCAAACTGGTATTGCTAAAATACATTAATAGCGTTTTGTAAGTTGAACAATAGACAAACTCTTCATATTAAAAAATACAATAGAAGTACAGAAAAACTTTTCTTTTTTTTATTATTATTTGATGAGTATGTATTGCATGACAAGTAAACCACATGTAAAAAATTAATATCACATTTTTAAAGTATAGAGAATGAATTAAGAAAATTGTTTTTTGGCTTTTTAGAGAAGAAAGTGCAACATTCCTTTCTTATTCTTTCTTTGTTTACTCAATACTATTCAGAAGTGTCTACAATTACTCAAAAAACTCTTATTTATATTTAAATTAAATATTTTCAATTTTTTAATTTTCTAAAGGGTTTTTATATGAAGATAATGCTCCATACAAAATAATTTTGAAATATATTTTATATATATAGCCTATTGTCTAAAGAGATCCTATGTATAGAATTTTATAAAGGGGAAAAAGCTTATAAAAATGTTAAAAAATAATTTAATTAAACTTTAAATGGTTATAGAAAATTAGGCAGTGAATGGCTAGCCAAAGATGGGATTACTACTACTAAAAAATTAATTTTAATAAAAAACAAAATGAAAGTTTCTTTATCATCAATTTTAATTTAATTATAATACTGTTTTTAAAGTCATATTTATTCTAAAAATCTTAATGAGAGTCAAATATAAGAACATTTATGCCACTGAAAGAAACCATATTGCATGTTTATATCTTCAATACACTATTGTACAGTATACATGTACATTTTAATCAAATATATTAGCTTGAAAGTAATAAATTTAAGTTGGAATTACTTGGAAAAATCCTTGTATAAGCTTGTTATAACATATTTCTATTTCTGCATATATGTAGAAGTAACAGGCAATTTTACACAGATGAAACTATATATAATTTGATATTGTAATAATTGTTTAATGTATCGCTACTCAACTGGGGTATAACTCTATTAAATTACCCCAAATTAAAGTTAGAAATTTATTTAAAAGCATCTAAAAATACAAATCTTAGATACATTTTATAAACAAAATTATAATCTACAAGCAATCATCTTCGTATACAATGTATACAGTAGATTTATATACTTTCATCAATACATAAATTATATTTATTACTTTAGTTAATAAGTTGTGAGTGATTGAAGTAAGATAGCATGCAAAATAACATAACAGTACATCGTTCTAATAAAAGATCTCTAATTAAAGTTATTGTGGTGTGACAGAGATTTTTTTTTCTTTTATTCTAGTTAAGTTAATAATAGTTTGATAGTTTTCTAGCAACATGCAGTGCAAAAACTCTCATCATTTTATTTCAATTACATAGTAACCGAAATATTTTCAGAATGTGTTAAAAAATTTCAGAACAGATGTTGTTTACTTGAGCAAGCAAGGAAAAAGAAAAAGAACCGGAAGTATCAAGGGTCCAGGATGTTTTGGTGCTGGTGCTGCCACCTGTCATGATGAATACAGTCAATATAATCTATATATACATTCTATTGTGTTGTGGCAGTTTGGTAGTTATTATTATTTGTTTGTTATTACATAATAAAAGATTGGTGGTACTGGTGATAATCCCTTAGAGAACCGTTAGTCACAATGACCTTTTACTCCACTCTTTAGCACCAACCTTCTGTTTGACAGTTGCATAAGCTTTTGTGCAATCTTTGTCTTTTGTTCCTTTTCTACAAGTTTAAACAGTTATATCACAATCTCCTATAAATTTCGCAAATCTAACAAATAATACTCCAAAATTTAAAAATCTTTCCTTTAAAATTATATTATTTGAAGAAATTTTAATAGAAACGAGAAATCAATCAAACAGCAAACATTGTATTAATTTTCTTTCTTGTAATCTTGGACTAGTGACTTTTAATCATGTCTCTTTTCAACAATCTGTATTGATCACAGACCAAGCCATTTAATCAACTCTTATTATCTTTATTCAGCAATGCACTAATGCATCATTATTCAGGAATGGATTAAAATAAATTACCGAAATAAATTAAATATTTCAGGAATACTTTTCAGGTTAAATTGTACCTGTAAAGAAAACTTATGTTACATAGGAAAGACAAAACAACAATTGGAAGCGAGATTGAAGTGGTCATAAGATTAAAATATTTTCAATCTTCACAGGCAGTATGTTGTGGAAAAAAAAAAACACATTATTGATAGAAATAGTGTAAAAATGATATAGAGAAAAAAATTTATATTTGAGAAAATTTAAAGAATATGTCGCAATAATTCATAGTAAAAGTAGTATTAATTTAAACAACAAAATGAAGATTCACAATGTATGGCATGACACCATAGTTAACTATGAAAAGCATCATAGACACAGGACAGGATATCAAAAAATGGATAAATTTATGTATCATCAGGTTTGTTCTTATCTTTTTGTAAAAACTGCATTTCTTACAAAATATATTTATGTACCTTTTTTAAAATATTTTTTTAGTCAAAGAAAATCTTGAAGAATTTTATATCAATCCATTTCAAATTGATATAAAATTGATTGCTGAATACAAGTAGTAAGAGTTGATTATGAGTCTTAAACTCTGATCAATACAGACTGTTGAAAAAAAGATGTGATTTTTAAATTTTCTTTCTTGTTATCTTAGACAAGTAATATCCATTTCCATACTTAACAATTTTTGATTATCTTCAAGGAATAGTGATATTATTTGCTTGTTGTTTACATTAAACTTATTGCATGTGCATTATTAGAATCTAAACAATCAAGTGTTCAAAATGTGTCTTTAACAAAATTCCAACCATTTATACGTGTCATATTGACAGTTATTAACATTATGCTTGTGGGAATCGGCCAGGAGCTTCTCTATCAGCCATTATATTACATCAAGTCGATAATTCAAAAGTAGCTATAAAGCAAGACCTGCATAATTATGTAAAATTAAGTAAAAATAAATATAATTAATTTTAAAATTACCTGAAATGCACTTGTTAAATCCATCTGAAAAAATACTGGTAGGAAAAGAAATGCTGCTATGGGTGTGCCAATGATATAAGAAATGTTTATGACCACAAACTGAGTGCCAAAACTATAAATTTCAGATGATACACCTAGTAAACTGATAGCGGACATAAAACTGGCCATCAAAGAGAAACCAACAGGAATGATAGACATGTTTCTGTCTGCGAGAAGAAACTCCTTACTAGTTTTCTGTTTGCCTCCGGTGAAACGATAATAGACTCCAATCCCTGCACAGAAAGCCAGCATCAAGCTAAATATTACATAATCGGCTGTCCCAAATGTGATATTGTCCATCTTATTTTCTATTTTGATTCTGCAATTAAAATAATTAGATTTAACTACTGTATATAAAAATTAAATTAAAGACCAAAAACTTGAAAAATATTTTAGTATTTACTACTGTATGAGACTAATGCAGATATTTCACGTAAAATACTAGAAATTATTGAAGCTACAAATTTCAGGATGAACTATTCCTTTATTTGCCACTAATTGAACTGTTCCTTTACTTCTTATCTTTATTATAAAGTGAATTCTGATCATATGAGATTGATATAATTACCAAATGACCAAAACCAGTCATACAACTGTTTCTAAGTAAAAACATACAACTTTTCATTTTTGAAACATAAAAATTCAAGGATAAATTTCAAGGTTAGAGTTGAACAAATTGAATATAAATTACAAAATAAAAATATTTATTATATATGCAATTTCAAGGAGTGTTGAAACATTGCTTTACAAAACAAGTATCTTATCTTTCGTACAAAAAATTAATATTGGCTTTAATAGTAAAATGATAGAACCTTTTTAAGTTAAAATATTTGTTTCAAAATATTAATGCAATAAAATTTATTGCTTCATACAAAAATTATCTACAGTTATTTCTATGTATAGAGAAAACAGCTTTCTCCAATGCCTCAACATGCCTAAACTGTGTAAAGTTCCTCTGACAGTGGTTAAAATTTTAAAAATTCTTGATTAATTAAAATATACGTAGACAAAGAAAAGCTCAACTTCACCAAATAGTGTTGTTGTTCAAATGGTATGAAAGTGGATGAATTATAAAAGACTATCATTATGTGAATTTACATTATCAATGGGTACATTCCAGTATGCATCAGTCTCCACCACAACCAATGCACCAGTGAACAGTTTAATACGTTTTTATCACAATGTCTGTCAACCTAATAAGTTAGTAGGAGCAAACTGAACTATATTGGTATTTATAGGATATTTTCAAAATAATGAAAGGAAGATATTCATAACACTTCAGATTTCTACTGAATTCACTTTATGAATCTAATACAATATCAAAAACCTTGTACTTCCAATTTAACCTTTGTTTCTTTATATTTGCCACTATCCAATGTTAATGTATGTATATTTTTCCATATGTATAAATTCTATAGAATTATTGAAAAGCAGAAACACACCAAAAATTCCAACAGTGCAATGTTTCTTTTTAAGATTCTCAACTATTTTGAAAATATCTGTTTAGAAAATTCTGTGTGTAACTTGTGTATCAAGTATACAAGAAAACAAATATTGAATATTTGAATTCATCAAGTACATTCTAACTACAAGTCCTCACTTAATGTTGACAATAGGTTCTTGGTAACTATGACATTAAGCAAAACGATATATAAGAAAACCAATTTTCCATAGGCTAAATGATATAAATAAAATATAATTTGGTTAATATTATTCTAATTGGGCTGTGTTTGCAATTTCCAGCATTTATTTCCCACCTCATGGAACTAATTTTACTTTAAAAAATGCAAAAATAATTGCAACGATTACAAACGTACTTGTAACTTTCCTCAACAACATTATAAGGAAATGGCATTAAACAAAATGACATTAAGCAATGACTTGCCGTATATGAAAGAAGTTGAGGAAAAACTTCAGTATCGAGTGCAGAACTTTCCAAACACAAATATTTTTAGAAATTATCAAGAAGTGTACAAAAACGTATTACTTAAGGTATTAATGTTCCTGCTTATCCATAATTTCATTTATTATTTTTATTTTAAAATTTTAAAAAATACCTCCCTGACACAAATATTTATAATATAAAATTACTCCTAAATTTTGGGTATTTTATACATCTTAATTAACTTTTAGGTAGCCTTTGTAAGAGTTAATAAACAATAAACTAAGATTTTAACATTCAAGATTAAATTTTAAAAAATAAAGGAAAACTACATAAACACTTACATGTAAACCTTGAATGATAGATAATACTTTATTGACAATTATATATTTCTGATTATTCTAACTGATAGACAATTACTTCCCTTCATTATCAAGTCACTAAAAATATAAAAATACAAAATAAATTCAGAATAATACTACATATAATTATGATATATATATATCATAATTATAT